GAGAACAAGCTGGCTACCAAAACTAGACATGTCAACAGTTTCTGGATTTTAGTAAGAGACCCTACCACAAATAATAACACAGATGGGTGATTGAAAGGTGACTCCTCATCACCCTCAGACCTTCCCACATGCATGTCTGTATAAGTGTGAACCCCCACCTCATGTCCCTGCATGCACACACAAACTTGTGCCCAGACACGTGTACCCTGCACCAAAAGAAGGAAAAATTTAAAAATGGCATTTGATATCTGTTTGAAATCCTGATTTGCAGCACTAGTGTACTAAAACACATCAACTCTTTATCAAAGCTTAAATCTGGAATATTCATAGATGTCTTTACTGTCATCTGAAATAATAATTTTTACTAGGCATCCTCTATTTGTTAAGTAATCACACACATACCTTGGAATCCTTGTCCATTTTTCCTTCTAAGATGCCTCTCAGTTACAAGTATGAGACATCCATGCTGAAGCATATAGTCAGCTTCACCTCTATAGTTTAGTAAGATGCAAAGTCCTCTTCCCCAAGCATCCCAGAATCACACACTACAAACATGCCTCTCTCACCTGCCAGGGATGGAAGTGCTGAGAGTCAGTACCTTTCCCATCCTGGTGCCCACGGTCTATCACGTCTTGCAGGGCATGGGCAATGCTGTAGACAGCTGTGTAAGCAGCATCCATCTTACTCACTTCCTGGAAAGGGTACCGCTTGTTTTTCAGACTCTCATTGCCTGAGCACATCTGGACACCCTCTCTCACTGTGCCGCTCTGGTGGGGCCATGTACAATCAAAGGTGGACTCCCAGAACTTCTTTATGAACATGTCCTCTGGGGTCTGGCTGGGGCGCAGGTCAGCAAGGAACTCAGGGAAGCCAATTGCCCTGCTGCTGTGATACAGAAGGCCAAATGTGCCATGCAGTACCTGGGAAATGCCTGGAATGCTCAGGGCGAGCGCCATGTGCAGAGTTCCCTTGCTGACCCAGACCTGGCCCGACACAGTGGTGCCCAGTAAGCCATACAGGATTATTTGGAAATTGGCATTGCTTAGGAAAACCAGAACAGCCCTGGCTGTGCATTTCTGCATCTTCTGGACAATTTCTTCAATCTTCCCCGAGGACTCATGGGAAGGGACATGGAGAGTGTCCTCAATACACACGTGAGCTGACCTTAGCTCCTGATTGGCCAGAGAGCTGGCCTGCTGTCCAAAGTCATCATCATGGGCCAGAATGATCACCCAGGACCACCGAAAATGAATTATCAGCTGGGTCACTGCAAAAGATGATCTGAGGTCACTGGTCAGGGTCCGCAGGAAAGATGGGAACTGGATCTTGTCACTGAGATTGGGTAGTGAGGATGAGTAACTGACCTGTCAAGGAAAAGCCAGGAAATAAGAGAGTGCATGAAATCAGGACTTAGGAGTGGGCTGAAGGTCTGGAATAAATGTGGTAAAGAGGGGAGTGGAGACATGGCTCTGCAGTTAAAAGCCCTTGTTGGTCTTACGGAGGACCCAAGTTCAATTCCCAGCACCCACATCAGCTAGCTCACATCTGCTGGAACTGCAGCTCCAGGAAATCAGATACCCTTCCCTGGCTTCCTCCTGCATGTGTGGCATAGACTAACACAGACATATGCACCTAAATGAGTATTAATTTTAAAACATGAATAATTTTTCAGAAAAGAATGTGAGCATCCTACTTTGAGAACTGGGCTGGTTCTAGAAGCAGCTCTGTGCCCGTCGCTGCCAATCATCCCAGACACAGCACTGTGGCTTCCGGAATGAAGCCCAGAACCATAGCTTCACCTGTTCTCCTCTCAACATCTGTCCTTCACCTGTCCCCCAATGTTCTATCCCTGCACCTCAGGTAGGATTGGTGTGATTCTCTGCTTTGCACACAGTTGTTGTGCTGCTCTTTTGAAAATTCTAGTGTGTGTGTGTCCATGTGTGTGTGAGTGTGTGTGTGTGTGAGAGAGAGAGAGAGAGAGAAATATAATTAATAATAGTAATAATAATAAAAGTAATAGGATGGAGAAATAGCTCAGTGATTAACAGTATTGCTACTATTTTAGAGGACCTGGGTTCAATTCCCAGCACCACCATGGCAGCTGAAAACAATCTGCAGTTCCAGCTCTAGGGAATCCAATGCCCACTTCTGACTTCTTTGGAACACAGGCACACATGTGGTACATGTTTATTCAAGAAGGTAAAATATTCATTCATTTTTGAAAAAAAAAGCAATTCTTTGTCTTAGTGTTTCTTTTGCTGTGAAGAGAAACCATGACCACTGCAACTCTTATGAAGGAAAATATTTAATGGGATGGCTTACAATTCAGAGGTTTAGCCCATTATCATTGTGCCAAGACATGGCAGACTATAGGTATACATATTCCTCGAATATGAGCTGAGCATTCTACATCTTGAAATGCATGCCATGGGAAGAGAACTATCAACTCTAGGAGTAACTTACCATAGAAGACATCAAAGGCCACCTTCATGGTGACATACCTCCTTCAACAAGATCAAACCTACTCCAACAAAGTCACATCTCCCAATAGTGCCATTGTGTTTGGGAGCCATTTTCTTTCAAAAGAACAATATCATTAAAAATACATCTTAATTTTTAAAAAGTCTCAGTCTCTTCCTCAATGGATAGGGATAATGCTTCTCTCTACACTATCCATACATTCAGCCGGGGGCAGGGTGAGGAGAGCCATGCTGGCAGGTGTAGTTGGGGACGGGCTCCTCCTGCCTCGTGAGAAAACTCAGAGTCTCATAGACGGCTCCATGCACTGAATCTCCAGAGTTTCGAATGGAGAAGCCCAGGGTCAGATTGGGCAGCAAGTGAGCACTCCTATTAATCTCCTCGATGGCAAAGACGAAACTCTGGGCCACCCGGTAGCCCCACTGGGAAACTCTGAGGGAGAGACAAGCCCACATTATTACTCATGGTGGGGTAAATGGAACAAGAATGAACACAGTGACTCAAGGGACACGAGGAGAAACATGGTCTCCACAAATGCTGGTACACAGAGTGCACAGGAGCGCAGTTCAGAATACTCCAAAGGGAGCCAGAGGAAATACGGAGACGGTAATCAGATGGGGAAGTTTCAGAAGGCAGGAGAAATAACTGAAGACATAGTGAATAAGCTAGTTGTGGTAGTGCACTTGTTTAATACCAGCACTCCTGAGCAAATTGGAAGCATGGGGGGAGGGGAGTGGAGGTTAGGAGAAAGAGAGGGGAGAAGAGGAGGGGTGAGGAGGGCATGAGGGAGCAGGAAGGTTGAGTCGGGAGAAGAATAGAGGAGAGCAAGAAAAGAGATACCGTAATAGAGGGAGCCATTAAAGGTTTAAAAAGAAATCTGGCACTAGGGAAATGTCCAGAGATCTACAAGGATGGCACCAACTAACAATCTAAGCAACAGAGGAGAGGCTACCTTAAGTGACCTCCCCTGATAAGGAGATTGATGACTACCTTATATGCCATCCTAGAGCCTTCCTCCAGTAGCTGATGGAAGCAGAAGCAGACACCCACAGCTAAACACTGAACTGAATTCCTGGAATCCAGTTGCAGAGAGGGAGCAGTGATAAGCAAAGGGGTCAAGACCCGGCTGGAGAAACCCACACATGCAGCTGACCTGAACAAGGGGGAGCTCATGGACCCCCAGACTGATAGCTGGGAAACCAGCATAGGAACAACCCAGACCCCCTTGATCCTGGCTGTCAGTTAGGAGGCCTGAGCAATCCATGGGGCCTCTGGCAGTGGAGCAGTATTTTTCCCTAGTATACGAATGGACTTTGGGAGCCCTCTACACATAGAGGGATACTGTCTCAGCCTACACACATGGAAGAGGGCCTAGGCACTGCTCCAAATGATATGACAGACTTTGAAGATCCCCGAGGAAGACCTCACCCTCCCTGGGCAGCAGAAAGGGGATAGGATATGGGAAGGCCAAGGGAGAAGAGGAGGAAGAGGGAACTGGGATTTACATGTAAAACAAGCTTGTTTCTAATTAAAATTTAAAAATCTGAAAAAATAGTGAGTTTATGATAGCCATGTCTACAGGGCAAGACCCTGTCTCAAAAAAAAAAAAAAGAAAGAAAGAAAGAAAGAAACTCAAGCCAGTAAGCAGACCCATGCCTGTAATCTCATGTTTGTTTAAGACAAGCATGAATTACACAAGGAGTTACAGGGTAGTCGGAGCACAAAGTGAGATACTGTCTCAAAAAACTAGTCATTTGCAGTGATGTCAAATATGGAAATGCAGAAGGGAAAATCTCTCGCATTTTTGCTTGAGTACGAAATGATCATAGTTACTTTAGAAAATACTCCTAACAACTGTTTTTGACTCAAGTCACATTCTGTACCCCAATCTGGCTTGAAACCATTAATACTCCTGTTTCTGCTACCTGGGGGCTAAAAGCAGAGTCATACACCCTATACTCAGAAAATTAAAAAATAAAGCTAAATACAATCATTTAAAAATAGTAATAACCAAAGAGGCCATTGTTGGAACAGTAAGTTGGAAAGGCCTGGACAAATATGAGCAAAGGAGGGATTGTGTTTATGGCTCAGTTCCTAGTTTTCACCTGCAGCACCTCCTAAATTGAGTGTGGTTACTGTCCTATAATCCCAGCACCCAGGAGGTAGAGACAGGTGGAGTTGGAAGCTTTTCAGAAACTCAAGGTCATCTTTGACTACCTAACGAATTAGAGGCTACATGAGACTCTTAGAAAAAATTGCAAGCAAAAGGAATACAATAGCTGACTGTGGAGGTGCACACCTTTATTCCCTGTGCTCCAGAGGGAGAAGCAGGTGGATCTATCTAAGTTTGAGGGCAGCCATATGTAAAGAGAGAGTACCAGGACAGCCAGTCAGGGGTGTGCAGAGAAACCCTGTCTCGAAAAACAAAACAAAACTAAAAAAAAAAGGAATACATTAGAGAGGAATTGTGGGGCTGAAAACTGATTAAAAATCTATTATTTACACTTAATTCTTTCAATAGACACATCTGTCTATACACTATTTTAAGAACCAAGGATACAAAAAAGAGTCAAGAATACCCACTTGACCTGTGGAATGCATACATTGCAGCCAGGACATGAGCAGCCTATATTTCAGTTTGCTACAAACAAGAAAACTTGTAAAGCTCCTTGAGGATTTTGGACACCTACCCCACATCCAGCACTTACTCTGAAGCCAGCAGTGGAGCTGGTGGGACAGTGAAGTCAGGCGGGGCACTATTAGAGAATCGAAAGACGGAGAAGCTGCCACCCACCATAACATCTCCAGGACGGTCAAAGTGAGGCCTCTGCCTTGGCAACAGCCAGGCTCTTGGTTGAGAAAGGGCAGACTCACACAGACAGCCTAAGAGAAGAGGAATGAAGGGACACAGCCACATGTCTGCTGGAGACCAGACAGCCAGTGACAGGACAGCCCCCATATGGGGCGGTGGCTTGCAGTGAAGGGGGCTTTTATCTAGGAACTACCCGTGAACAAGGACCTGAGGCTAAGACCACACTGAGAAAACTAGGCGGGGAGTCTGTGGAGAGAGTATTGATTGTGAGGTAATGGAGGTGGGTGGCCACAAAATCCCAGAGCCATTAAAAGTTTTATCCCCTTCTCTTGAGGCTTCCTAACCTCTCTGCATCCAAGGTCACAGCTCTGGGCATCATCTGCAGACTACAGGAAGGGCGACAATGGGTCTGACTGTCTCCTAAGGGACTTACCAGCCCAGGAGCAGTTGTTCCCATGGTGCTCAGGGCACTGTTTTAGAGAGAGGCCCCAGATGGGTACAAGAAGCAAACATCCCATGACCCTCTTGAGCCTCACTGGCAGCATCTAGAGATAGGTGTTCCCAAGGCTTCACCAGGCCCTGGGCTAATCCTCTTGCTTCTAGCTACCAAGCAGTGGGTCTCAGGCAGGATGGAGCCTCTTCAACCCCAGAGAGCAATGCTTGATGGGGCCATGCATCTCTGTGGTCAGGGCAATGGGTCCATGCAGGAGAGGGAAGCTGAGTTGTGAGCAGCTCCCCAGCATGGAAAAAGTTCAGCAGCCCTCTGTGCCTGAAAGAAGGTGTCTAACCATCCCTGTCAGCAAGGTCAAGGTCATTTAGATTCAAATCATTGTGAGTTAGTCTCATGTGACTCTTCCTGGGGAGGTAGAACATATAACTACTAACCCAACACAGAGCACTGACGACAGGTCAAAGACATCCAAGTATAGCTTGGAAACAGTGCATTGACCGGCTTCACTTACAGAAGCATGGGAAACACTTGACCAGTTGCATCACTGAAAAGCCCACCTAAGCATGAGTGATAACTCATGACAACTGCATCCCTGAGCTCTTCCCTCAACCTGAAGTCACCACCACAGAGAAGTTTCCTGTTGCCCCACCCATTGCTTGCTGGAGGAGCCTTATGAATCTTACAACTTTCTGAACTTCTTGAATCCCAAGTGCAGAACTTACTGCACTTTTTCAGTTAGCTTCCTGAGTTTTAGGAGCCTCCCACTGTACTCCAGGAGAGAATGCTGTAACGCACAGGAAATAGCTACACAACACAGAGAAACCTGTTGAGGCCCAATAGGAAAACTTTTTTAACTAAAAATGAGTCTCAGTGAGGATGTGAGGAAGAGATGCCACCACAGTTGGAGTGATGCAAGCATGAGGGCCTGCATTCAGATCCCAAGTAAATGCCAGGTGGGTGTGGTGGCCCGCCTGTAATCCCAGCCTCAGAAGGAGGCAGGAGATCTGCAGAGCAAGCTGGCTAGGTAAGACTTGCCATATCAGTGAACTCTGGGTTTGATTGACAGAGCCCACCTTGATGAATAGAAAGGACAAGCAATCCAAGGAGAGACCCAGAAAGACTCCTGACATCAACCTTGGTTCCCCCTGCATGCATACCTGCAGGCACACCTGTAGTGGCATCTAGCTTGGGCGCCGATTGAAGGCAGCATTTAAGTGAGTCCTCAAGACCCAAGATAAATGATAAGCAGGTATTTATTAAGTAAGCAGTTACACAAATAATAGTAAAGAACCACCATGGTCTTCCTACTCCTTAAAATGCAGTCTCTGTCCTTCCAATGTTCTGACCACAACCCAAGACAGTGAGCCAGCCCTTCCTCTTCCTTATAAGGGGGTCATGTCTGCACATCTGAAGCCATGCCCATAGGAGGTGGCTACCACCACAAGTTCACTGGCAAAGCAAGATGCCACTACACACACCCACACACATGTGCGCCCACAGACACCTATACATGAAAAGGACATAAGACCCCAAAATATGACGTGGTGAAATTCGCCCTTGAATGTTTTCTTGAGACAGAGTCTCACAGAGTAGCCCATGCTAGCCCTGAATTCACGATGCTCCTACCCAGCCTCCCTAACACTAGGATTACATTCATGTGATACCATGGCCACCTAATTTTGGTTTTCTAACAGATTTATATGTGTGTAAATGATTTTTTAAAGCCATTATCTGCTGGGAGGTGGTGGCACACACCTTCAATCCCAGGACTCAGGAGGCAGAGACAGGAGGATCTCTGTGAGTGCGGGGCCATCCTGGTCTACCGAGAGAGTTCCAGGACAGGCTCCAAAGCTACAGAGAAACCCTGTCTTGAAAAACAAACAAACAAAAAGATATTATCTGTTGTAGGAATTTAGCAGAATCACTGTATCTGGGTAGATATAAAAATGAAAGCTGTTTTTTTTTTATAAGTACTTTGACCTTGAAGAAACCTTGTGGAGAACAGTGATTGTTTTCCATGATTTGTAGAATTCTTTTACTGAAGGGGCATTGTAGCCAACCCGTGACTTTGGTCACAAGATGTTTCAGGCACCCGAGTCTCTTGTATGATTGTGTGTTGCAAACAGTCATTAGACAGAACTGAAGTCATGGGGGCATGGGATGCTCTCCTTTAGTAAGACATGTAAATTAGATTAGGGACCTTGGCATGAGGAAATACTTTATGTAACAATCAATAAATACATCTTTGTATGGCTGGTCACAATTCAGTCCATCAGAGAGGCTGGACTTACCTGCTGTCACATAGGCCTTAAAATTTTACCTTGGAATGTCTGCTTTCCGTGATGGACCTGAACTACAGGGTGCACCCTGACAATTATCAATGAGTTATTTAATAAACACTGTTCAAACACATGTTGCTCAAGGGACAACTGTATACCTAAACACTGAATTGTATCTGGCACAAGCATTTACTGGGGCCAACAAGATGGTTCAGTGGGTAAAGGTGCTTACCACCAAGCCTGACAACCTGGGTACATCCCCAGAACTCACATGGTAGAAAGAGAACAGATTCCTAAAAGTTGTCTTCTGAGCTGCATACACACACACACACACACACACACACACACACACACACACACACACACTAAGTGCATAAATAAATGTCAATTTTCTTAATAAAAGAGGAAAATAATTTAATAATTAAATGGCAGGTGTATTTCATCTCAATAATGCCCATATGTACTTATCTTACACTTATGGGAAACATTCTAGAACTTAACAGTGTAACACAACAAATAAAAGACCCAGAGACTGAGGTTGGGGTTCAAGCTTCAAACTGAAGACCAGAAAAGCAAAGCAGCCAGCCACTAGCTCTCACCTCTACTTCAGCTCAGACCAAAGGGGTGATTCTCAAACTGCTCCTGACTTCACTGCTCCTCAGGTTCACTCCGACTGCTATGCTCTCCTCAGTGTGGCTAGAGACTCCAGAGACTGACTACTGGAGACCCTGCTCCTATCTTTTATCTCTCTCTAGTGCTGGGATTAAAGACATGAGCTCTGTTCCTCTTTTAGACTTATTCAGTCTTATGTAAGTAACCCTGGGTTGCCTTGAACTCAGAGAGATCCATCTGTCTTTGTCTCCTGCGTCTTGGGATTAAAAGGGTGCACCACCACTGCCTGTTCTCTATAGCTTGAGGTTGACTTTGCTTTCCGAATCCCCAGGCAAGCTTTAATAAATCACAAATAATATATCACCATATAACACTTCGGAGAAATTCTAATTCAAGTGGAAATCGCAATACGGGGGCAACTCTGAGGCTCGCTAACCTCTGCTTCTTCACTAATATATGAGAACATAGACAGCTGACCCAGATGTCTGAGCAAACACAACCCAAGGTGCTTTCTTTGACCCAAAAGGGTGTTATTTACATGAGATCAGGATGTCCTGACTTGGGAACAACTAGCATTTTGTATCACGTGATTCTTTGTGGTTAGGGGCAGTCCCGTGCATTGTAGAATGCATAACAACATATGCATTCTAGTGTGACTATGCAATAACCCCCTCCCCAAGAAGGTCCATGTGTCGCAGGCTTGGTCCTCAGCTACTGGTATCACAAGGGTGATTAGACCATGATGGAACTTCATCCATTATAGAGCCAAAGGTAATACAGTTATAAACTCATTTGTAAGACTGCTTTCCAATGACAAAGAGAGAGATCCAGGGCTCCCTGCATGCACAGGCTGGCTAGGAAAGCATCGTCCCATGTTCAGCCATCTACACAGAAGCTGCTGCAGTGCCTGTCTGGTTTCTGCTTGCTCCAGCAGCAAGCAGACTATCGTTTACACAATGCTGATTTTTGCAAGACATCCAGAAGGCATGAGGTGTGGGTCACGGAGGGTTTCCACAATACATTTATTCATTTGTTTGTTTTATGTATATGGGTTTAATTGAGGTTTCTTTGTTTGTCTGCTTTGGGTTTTGGATTTTTTTTTTGGCCTGGATGAAAAAAAAACAAAGTGATCTCAGAGGGCAAAACATGGGTGTCAGATCTCCTTGGACTGGAGTTACAGATGGTTGTGAGCCACCATGCAGGTGCTAAAAATCGAAGCCAGATCCCCTAGAAGAATAGCAAGTACTCTGAACCACCTTTCCAGCCTCCACTCTAATTTTAAATGAAAGCTTGGGAAGTCAGACCATTTGTATGATGATAGGATTCCCCGAGACAACAATGTGTGTATCTACAGGAATGACGCTAAAGGCACTAGAGACACCAGGAAGTCCAAGATGCCAGGAGTATGGATGTCTACAGTGTCACAGGCAACAGGCAGAGCCAGCCCAGGAAAAAAGGCCATGTAGGCGGCAGCCAGAAAAGTCATAAATACAGAATTGTCAAAGCCCTTTTGGAGCTCACATTGTTCCCAGTAAATTTGGGGAAATCCTACCAGAGTCATCAGGGTTACTCTTAAGGGTTCTTCCTTAGTCTTCTTATTAAAATAATTGAAGAACAGACTCAAAGAAGAAACTTGAAAACAGAATTATGAAAGTTTAAAAGAAAAACTCCAAAGCAGACCAACTGTGAGCCTCACCATGCACAAACACATAATATTTGTTATATTACACACCGGGTCAGCCACAATAACAAGCAATCCCCCAGAGGATGGGAAAAAGGAGCTTTAGAGACCAAGAGAAGCCCAGAATGTTAGGGAAAGCATCTTAGAAGAGAGACAGAAATAAGAAAATGGAAAGTTATGCTTTTCTGAGTTCTGAAGGCTCTGTACTGGCTGTCCTATGGGTTGGGAATTTGAGGGGGTGGGGAGCAAAGTTATACATTTAGCTCACTAAAGGCATAAGTAGGGCTGGAGAGATGGCTTAGAGGTTAAGAGCACTGACTGTTCTTCCAGAGGTTCTGAGTTCAATTCCCAGCAACCGCATGGTGGCTCACAACCATCCGTTATGAGATCTGGTGCCCTCTTCTGGTGTGCAGATATACATGGAAGCAGAATGTTGTATACATAATAAATAAATAAAATTTAAATAAAAAGGCATAAGTATTCCTACTGTCTTTT